AGAACCCGCTTTGCTGGACGCCAGAAACAAACTATTTTTAATATAAATATATCGAAAAATTCAGACAATTCCGTATTTCAAACAGCTATTTGAAATAGTTGGCCTTTTGTAGATAGTTTCAGATCGTGAAAAAAAACCCCACAAACAATCAAATTGCAGACAATGTATCACGTGACATGGATCGGACTTTGCATGAAACATGAAATAAATTACCAACATATTCAATTTTGAAAAAAAAAGATAAATACCATTCAATGTTGGTCAATAGTGGCGATTGAAAACCAGAAATTGACATCACAATACATGTATAATCATATGATGTATATCTATATATCGCCCTCAACATTTGGTAATCATGCAGTCAATAACGACTCGGAGGTAAACAATGTGGCGAAATTTCGTATTATAAAAAAACAATTTAATGACAATAGTCGTACTATTTACTCAATGTATCTTAGTGTATCGCGCAAAATTGACGAAAACTTGTACTTGACGAGTACTTGCAAGTACTCTTTGGCCTTTTATTTTTTCAAAAAGCGCTCATTGAAAATCACAGAGATTTAGATAGTGTGGCCTTTAATTAATCTGCCTTCAACATCATAGTAGGGCCTGTTATTGTTAGTGGCAGACTCACTTGATACTGCATTGTTTTTGGTATAGTTTTGATATATATTTTTTATTTCACCTACTGTGTATAAATTGTTCAAGACAAATATAACCCAGTCTGCAATATTTGAAATAATGTTCTGTCTATAATTGAAATGACAACACAGACAACCACTATATCAAACCAATGCCAATACCACAATATTCGTACTTGATCCATTTACGCGGTCTGCGTTTGATTTAGGCGAACGCGCACGTATATGCATACGTGGCGATCACCATGGTGACTGCATTTATTTGTAAATACTAATATTGATACAAAATAAGATGCAATTATATAGTTAATACTAGTATACATTCATGAAACGGGATTTTAGCAATTGAATAGAATAGAACAGAACATACAAAGTATCTTCATGGTGGTATAAAAACACTAACTGCAAGATTAAACATGACATATCGACGCAAGATTTGTCAGAAACAGGTATTATTTGTATTTTCAATATAAAGCTCAGATTTTATTAAGTATATTTTGGATTTTCGCTTGTTTAGAACTTCGTGATCGGTGTTTTAGTTTGCATAATTCCGACTTATATCGGAGTTCCTGTAGCGTGGTTGTGGTTATTTCCATCAAACTAGATCTAGATCGTTGGTACTGTAATAATCAGTGTGATATGTATTCATCGCCGACTGCATAGTAGTATTGAATATACGTGCACTGTCAGTATATCAACGTTGAACCATCTCTAGTCACCGAGAAGGGACCCTTAAATCTGTAGAAATCGAACCCTAAGGCGATTCCGGAGTGAAATTGAACACATCTAACATACACGCGTTACGTCTATCAGCTTTTCGAACTCACGGATGGGCATTTTCTTGCTCGTGGGCTCCTGTTACGCTGTTTGAAACGTTTACCCTCACCCCGCGATAGACTGATGATGGCCTTAGTAACATACTGTCGTTTCAAATCAAGGAGTTGATACTGTTTGCAGCTGTTCTAATCAACTGACCACTAACTTCGTACCGTGTCTTAAATTCGCATGCACGTGATTTGACAAAAAAAAAGAAACTTTTCATTGACCCCTGCGAATTTCATTCCCCGAAGTGCCGAGCGTGGCGTTTGTTATTGTACAGTCTGAGCAGCGACATGGGAGTCACCATTGACTAGTACGCTAAGCCAAGCGTGCAAAAGGTGGTATGAATGAAACAGTCGGGCGACAAGAGGGATTCGGGATATGCCCTTTCTGGCAAGTTGGCTTAAAAAGACTTAACAAACTTTGTCGATGTTATTTTTTCACATCACGTATAGCGTGCACGTTGCGTACATGGCGACACGTGCGTGTAGTCTGTGGTCTAAGTGGTAGACGTACAAAACGCTTACTGGTTTCATTTCAACTTTGAACAGCCCAATTTCCCTATTATCTTACAAAAAAATAATAATATCAACTTACGATATAGTTAGGAAACCTATTATTGATAAATGAAATATAATTTAAACCAAAACTAAATATTATATGATATGATGTAAGTATAAGTATTAATATTGAAATGTGACAAGGTACACGGAACATGTATTCAAATCAAATACGTGCGACCACTGAGCAATGAAGAGGAGATTTAAAAAAAAAAATTGACAGTGTCTATATGTACAGGTTCCGTTCATTCGGGACAAACAGTGTATGTGTCGATGGGAAAATTTACGGTAGAGACCATCCGATCAATTTGTCGGTGATGGAATAACAGGGCGCAGTTAAAAAAAAAACGGACCGAGGGAAGTTTTGTATCGGTTACTCTACAATCAAGGACAAGTTCCGTCATTGCTAAGATGACGGGCGCTACTTCCCAACTGAATCGCATGAACTTTGTTTAAAACATAGATTGTATAGACGAATCGCAGTAGCACGTCGTTTTTCTATACAGTCTACGGTTAAATCGTAATCAGTCGTTCCGGGGGTCCAAATATCACGTGACTTGGGTTACACCTATATCAATTAAAATGTGATTCAGAAGCAGACACAATTACGTGGTCAGTCGCAGGATGCATATTTCACGACGCGAGGTAGGTGTCCTGGCGATACCTATATAACACGACACTAACGGTGTCTGTTTTCGAGATAATTCGACTCGGTTCAAATGTGGAGTAGATATTTTTCTTTAAACATCAAATAGAGTAATTAATTATATATATGGCGCGTTGTTAAATGACAACCAATCAATTTTCTTAGTCAATGTTTGCCCACTAGCGTTCAATATACCGGCTTCGAATAACACTGTGCATCGTTCTCTCTCTCTCTCTCTCCTCTGTCTCCATCGGGGTCAAAACAACCTGTAACCCCGGTGTTTAGCAAACCAACACACCCAAACGACCGTATTTGAGAGAACAGTTATATTCGGCCATTGACTGCTATAAGAGTACAATAAACGCATACACGGCTAAGATGGCCCGAGGCCGTGTTTATACCCTGCTTCAACGATATTGATTTTAACATAGGCCTACATTTTGCCACATGTGACGTATACCCACGGCGGTAGATTGAAGCAAAACATTACATTCTCCACAAAAAATATATAAATATAACATCTATATATAGAACCTCAATAAAGATAAACCATTGCTAATATAAACCACACCGAAAAAACCGAGACGATGTTAGAACAATTAATGAGAAAACTGTAATATTAATATTACAATTAAGGGTTTAGCGGCTATCGAGCAAAGTTTGCCCTATCCAATATTAAAGTGTGGAATATGGGACTTTATTTGTTGTATGGCTAAGTATGGGTATCAATCAATAAAAGCGTGGGGAAAATTGCCATCAACTACACTTGTTTTGAGTCGCTACCTCGTGTTCGGTTCTCAGGGTTAAATAGCGCAAAACTCTGACAAATAAATTTGATAATAAACGTATATCAACATGGTGAGTAGATGTATTTTTTTTTGCAAAAGAACGCATGGTGAATGGTGAATTGTCGAGCGTCGCGTCAAGGAACCGCACACCAGTGTCATACGCCGTATTCTGTTGTCCATAGCAGGTAGGAAGGCACATCTCCCATGACAACGGCAAAGGTTCGAGGTTATATAGAACGTATAAGGAGTTGGTTGTCTAGATGGTACTCTCTGACAAGCAAAATCCATAAATAATACTATATTTGCCTTGTATGACATATTATCATATCTCTAATAGATAACAAGAAACTCCCGACGCGTGGCGTGACACGCCCGAGGACGATAGAAACGACCTGACGCTGGTCACACTCAGTACCGGGGTCCAGCTTTGACACACATATGTATTGAGCCATCTACGCGTTGTGAGTTCGGATATCTGTGCAACTGGTCGAAACTATGATTTCTTCTCTTCATGCATATATGTGGTAATATAAACCAGTTTACAATTCCTCAGAAGCAATTACATATGAGCCATATTGCTCTACACGCAGTGCTTTCAATTCTGTTAACGGTAGTGGCAAATCACATCCGGAGTAAAGAAAAAGCCCCTTCCTTTTCGGAAATCAATGTTTTCCTTGGTTAAACTACAATGATTTGTTCCCATGGCAACGGTTGCTGGAATGCACCATTCCACACTTAGTACAAGTTGTCTAATGTTCAAGGCACACCCCAGTAAGTTGTTTCGCGTGTCAGAGCGTACGCCCTGAACAATGCACTCATATGCCAACGTCATTAATCCGAACTCGATCGCATGTTACCACTTCTAGGCAGGCTCAGCGAAAGGAGAGGGGATCATTCCCCCCACAACCGGACGTAATGTGTTTCATTACATATTATATATATCTAGAAAGGAATATACATGTATATATATATATATTAGATGTATGGATTCAGATTGTCTGTAATACAAAAAAGAAGACTGGATCAACTGATTTCTGAATATCGGACGGAAGGACCATGTACGTGTTATGTTGAGCTGAATTAAGAATAACCTATTAAGAGTCCAAAATAACCGTACACAGATAGTCTATAGGCGAATGATAAACTCCCACTAACACAGGCAAGATTTCATACATGATTTCCACTGGAGTATGAGATCCATCATGGAAACAATCCTCGGACGATGTTCTATTAATAGATCTGTCTAATTCAAAAAAGCAAGTGTTGTTATTATAGCATACAATTATTTCCAATGTCACGCAAGGTGCGACGTGAGTAACACACAATTTAAAAGGCCCGAAACAAGTGGAACAAGAAAGCCTATTTAAAAATATAGTGATGTAGCTGTTGTGAGGCGGTCTATATAACGCTGCGCAGGCGCAATACGCCTGGATAGTTTTTTGGACGGAGCGTCACCTGATTGGTCATTGGTCCGACTGATTGACACACACGCCCCTGCAAGTACGCGTTTTGCTTGTTTTGCTAAAGATATAGCGAGCTACGCGTGACGACTGCATCGCCAGAAGCCAACCAGCAGTCGACTCGTGGACATCGAAACGCAGGCACCATCTCACATACTGTCACATCGCGCACTTGTTAAAAAAAAACGACTCACCGACTGCAACACTGGCTTATCTATATCGAGGTAAGATGGATTTGGTGGCTATGGAGAACCTGCCATTGGAAAGCCGACAATCGTTCTCCTTTACGGACCTTGACGAGAACACGTATGAAGCACTTGCAGCATCCTACGAGAGAAGACATCCCGACCAAGAAAACATGAAACGACGTAGGAAAAAGAAATGCCAAGTGCAGCAGGTGCAACAGCGACAAGCAGCCAACCAAAGAGAAAGAAAACGAATGCAGTCTATTAACGAGGCTTTTGAGGGACTCCGATCACATATTCCGACTCTTCCATATGAAAAAAGACTGTCAAAAGTGGACACTTTGAGACTAGCTATCGGATACATAGGATTCCTATCAGAACTTGTGTCAACAGGAGGCGATAATGTGAACGACCCACTACAGTCGAATTGTTTAGAGCAACCCAAGAAAATCATCATTTGCCATCGAGGTAATTCACTTTACCTTTTTTTTCTACGTCATTTTCAACTCTATCTCTTTTCAGTAACGTTAGAAGAATACAAGTTGATCTTAGGGTGGCTCATTTGACAACAGTAAGATGGGCGCGTGGCGCATCCACTAGTGAAGAGCTCTGTCAATTTGTTCTGCTCCATGTCAGGGGGCATTAGCTAATACAAATACGGCAACATCGTTGTCAGACGGTAAAACCAGTAACTAATGCTTTGCCGTGATGAAATGTAGCATTGCCTAAATACTAGGGTGCCCGATAGAATGTAGTGCAGGTTTTATGGAAAATCTCGTTATTTTTTTTACCAGCCACAAATTATTAGGGTACATGAATCTTGACGTAGCAATTTATTGTGAATATGATTTCGTGTGTTTCTATCAGTCTTATTACGAACCGAGGGAGAAATAACCATCGTCATACGCACATTTTAGTTTAGACATCGCCTTCCTGAATTACTCCTTTCGTACAGAATTGTGTTCTTTTTGTCGGAAAGGAGGATACCATTCTTAGCTTACCGAGTACAAAATATGATGGCGTACTCCCTCCCATACGCACGCTAATATTTATTTTTCTACAGTCGCCAAGTTCCAATGTAATTCCATATATTTTGATGTAAACTGCGACGCATATTCGAACACGTTACCCTACACTACGGTGTATCGTTCCTTTTGAGGTCTTTCATTTTGTTACCGCTTACATCGCACTAGACAAAGCAGATAGTGATCGTAAGCTTGTTAATTTATCACAAATATTCATGGTGATTATTATCTCACTTTCTCATCTAAATATCTCTATTTTTTGTCCGATTCACAGGTTCACCGTCACCCACAGATATGGAATATGGTCTACCGCCACTCGCTGGGCATTCACTGTCCTGGACCGATGAGAAGAACAAGTCACTGCGACACAACAACACCATGATAGCTAAAGTGTGGACACCCGAAGATCCGAGACAGGGCAAGTTGGATCGCTGTCCGCGAGAAACGCTCGTCGTCTGACGATATATCTCCACGGGGGAGAAAAATCGGTTGAGGGGTTGAAAGAACGATAGATAGAAGAAACGGACTTCTAATCAAAGCACTTGAAATGATATCGCATGGTCTTTCATTTGCTAACCACCGATACTGTCGAGTATTGTCGAGCATCAAGCAAGGGTGTGCTAGAAACAAACGATAGTTAAAACTTATTCTGCCTATTCCTGCCTACATCCTCGGACAAGACCAGCTCCAGCTTGAAACATCATCATCACACCGTCAACAATTAAAACAAACAAACAAACAAACAAACGAACAACAACAATACTAACTTATATTTCAATTTAGGCACAGAATATTTGCTTTTAGCACCAAAAACACCAAATGATTGAAAATCGTAAGATTGCTGATTTGTGGGATGTCCCACGCACCACTGATACAACAACTCAATTGTTTTAATTCAAATTATCGTAGATTTAATTTTCACGCTCAAGCAACTCTTGATTGTTTATGTATGTATATCATACGTTTAGCTGTGGCATTGCAATAAGTAGATTAGATTTGAAATATGAAGTTGTGTCATTCTCATAACCTACAAAGAGATACCAACTCGTTTGTACAGTATTTTTTAAAAGCGTTTTCTGTATAGGCTTCTCTTGCGTGAAGCCAGAGTTTTGTTTTTTTATAAAACAATAATATATTAAATTATATTAAGAATCGAATACGGGTTCTCTGATGTTTGACTGTATTTGTTATTATGTGTGTGTGTGTATATATATGTATTATATGTATGAATTATATCATGAAAACAAGCACGGAGAGGATTATGGGTAATGGCTATTGTGAAGTGTGAAAGAAGTTGTAACCGCCATTTTGTTTTTACGAGATTTGTGTTGACACTTTGTGGAATCGATAAAACTGCCCCAAACCTGTTTGGAAATATCGCTATGCTTTGCACAATGCCTATATTGATCTCTTGTCGATATCTTTGACTTTCCATACTGTCCTCATCCCGTGTTTGCTGCATTCATTGCGTTGGTCGCAAAAAAAAAAAAAAAACACAGGCGGGCGTCTGCAAGGTGTTGTCAAATGCCCCCACAAACTCGCCCAAATGTGTGTATTTAATCTCAGTGTGGCGTGCGGTACACGCGGTATATATTGGTATAGGCCAGCATCGTTTACTTTCACTCATTGTATTACTGTGCAAACAAGAACACAAGTAACATGCAAATCCATGTCTCGTAATATGCAACGAAAATATACCGATTAGGTGTATTCTTACTCTAGCTGCATGCCTGTGAAATTTTTCTATTAATTGTTATACATATATAAAGCCTACTCACAATGGTTTACTTTACGTAACTGATGGAATAGCAGGACGAGGGAGGGAGAGATTACCACGGAAGATTGCACTGGCGTATTTATTACATAGCGGTTATATTGTATGTGAATTAGAAAGATCGACATCCTTAAATTATCGCGCACATACCCTCTAAGCTTATAGATTTTTGTAGTGTTCCTGGAATAGAACAGGTGCTCTCTACCGTATATTTTCCCGCACTTAGATTTACTTCGAGTCGAGTCCCTGCACAGTACCTCGATCTTCCCGCCTTTGGTTATTCCCCATGATCCATATTAGGATGTGTACTGCGAATGTCACTTTGATGTGCAGATATACTGTATATTGTGTACAGGGGTTGGTATATAACTATCAGGCTCTAAAGAAAACGTAGCTTTAAAAAACTACGAGATCTGCGATTGTTAACATTAGCGATATTGATAAAGCCTAGTACGGTGGACAATGCATCGCGCGTGGGTTCCATAAACAAGTGCGCGTGTCGGTTGTTCGGTCCCTACAATCTATGTTTAAACATTTGACTGTGTACTGCATTGTTATTAGACATTACTTTAGGACAATACCGTGATCCCATCATTTACGCTTCTTTTCGGCTAAGTTTTATCCTTTCTCTTTGCCATATCAGATAGAGTTCTTTTCTCGTCGACTCTCTCCATCGTCGTCGTGTATTCAGCCTTTCCTTATCTCCAAGTTATTTCGTGATAGGCATTTGAGCTGATTACGCGGCAAAGAACACACGTGCGCCTTACGCAATACTGTAAGTAGAACGTCCGTTGCAAGCTTTTCAGTTTTCTGAGAACTGACATCCAATTTAGCGTCGATCAAGAGTCCGTATTAAGCAACGTTGTCGTGTAACGAGCGTCTAATTGCGGAAAAATTACGCACAATAATGGTACGTTTTCAAACGACCACTTACAGTTTGTCTCCCCCACTTTTTTTTTTACCACAGCAGGAAGAGGATTTCATTATACGTGATTTGCAGAGCGAAGTGTGTTAAGGCGGACACAAGTGTGACTCTCTGTCTGCAATAGTCATCACTGACGTTCCTTGTCGTCTACTTGGCATGGGGGCAGACCTACGGCAGGTAGAACAGGTTTTTCTTTAGCTGCCCCCACATGTTGCACGTACAAGCTAAGTAACATCAATTGAAAGGGACAAATGCAGCGAATGCAAAAGAGAGTGTGAAGGAGAACGCTCTATGTAATATTGGAAGTTATGAAAGGGTTGGGCAGGTTGATGCTTTTCGTTTCAACAACCTGTTCCCCTGAGTTGCATTCAATACCCATATCAACGAGTAAACACTGCGTGCATTCTTATTTACGTTTCTCTCACACAATAGCAAACAATACACGGTGTACTTTTCAGAAAGTTGATTCAATCTCTTCCCGTCATCCACTTGCGTGTGTGTGTGTTTGTGTGTGTCTGTTTTCTCGTCTTTCGGGCGATCGGACATGTAGCTCACAAGGCCCTGGCACGACACTCGTGAAGTACAAACGAAAAACTTAAACCATTTGAGGAATTTATGCAAAGAACATATGGAAAACTTCTGTTTGACGAAGTTCTAGTGTGTTTTTCCCTTTCAGGTCCCAGTGGATCAAAGAAGTTGACACTAACACTTGGGTAGCAGGTGAAAAAGTTTATTTTGGAACTCGCGTCAAATTTATCCTCATAACATCTACCCCAATATTTGCATTTGAAAAAAATGTCTAATTGGGCGCCCGTCTGTACGTTTTGAGGCTGGAAAAAGAGGGTGGTGTATATGATAAAGTGTATTCAAGGGTATTCACGATGTCGACATGCACCTGGTCTCCTTCTCAGATTGCCATAGCCTGGCGCGCGGCAGCTGCGGATAGCAAGCAAAAAGCCATAATACATTGTCGATGAGACGTGCCTTCTGGAAAGGTGGCCTTTAATGTTCTCTGGGCCTTTGTACGTTCACAATGTGGGCACACTAGAGAATGACGTGTCTCGGATAAAAACACACTTTTCAATTATCTAGTTATAGTGTAGGCTGTGAAGCAAACAAACAATCAATTGGTATGCTTTGTTTCGCTCTTGAAAGAGACGTAGGGAGAAGCGTTAGCAACTGGCTGCACCAAACGAGATTTGAAACCAATGGATAGTTTGAAAGATGGATGGAGAACCATTCCATCCATTTTGCTTCTTTCATCTAAGTGCACTTTTGAAAAAAAAAACGAAGAAAAAATTATAGAAAAGCAGATCATAATCCTAACCATTGTTTTATCGCTCTATATTTCATAATGCGACGGTTATGAGAAAAAAATAACAGAACAGGAATATCAGGTTAGAGAGGATAGTTTGTCGACTGAAAAAAAGATTGTTTGTGACACTTGTTACTACCAAATGAAGCAACTTTTAAGATATGAGCGAGCGAAAAAAGAATCCCCATTTTTGTTTCTTTGTCTTGCAATTAATACAGCGAGGTTTAGCAGATGTTTTCAGCGGAAATGTTAATTCGAATCAATAGTAAACCAACGAGTGAGAGAGGTGGCTTCGGACAGACAGGCCAACAACGTTTGTGACGAGTTCTACTTTGTCCATCACATTTGATGTATTCGTCTGGACTGAGCACACCAATGTTGGTAGTTACAATTAGTAATTGAAAATTGTCTTGACAGAAAGACACATGTCCGCCGGCTTGTACGTGAGAAAAGTTGTAATTATCCCGGCGATTGTAATAACCATATTTGGGAACCTGTTTGGGAAAGAAAAGGCACAGTTCAGCCAAAAGCTCAGACCTTAGGCCAACCAGCCGTCAGCATACGTCGCCACTATTATCATATCTACTGAAAATCTCGACTGTTGATAATGTTCTTTTGACTTTCAGTGTATTTAAAGTTACGGTTATGATACCGCACACCTGCTAGACCAAACCGCCGCTAACAGGTGTCCTAAAACAATTAGGTCTAGTCAATCGAATGCGGTATTTGGAAACGGCTGCATGCAAAATATGATTTAAAGCATTTAAATAAGCTTGAGATGGCCCCCGTTCAGCCACTAAATAAAACCCGGGTGGTTTCAGACGCGTTCATAGCGTTTAAACAACTTTTCTAGCAGCGCGACTTTACGCGCGCAAAACTTTCAAAACTTTTCAAAACTTTTTCTAAAGTGAACAAGTGCGTATTGTTATGCGCATGCGCCATTTTAATAGCCGTTATCACGTAAGCAGTGAACCATAACAAAAGTTTCAGTGGAAAGACAGGCTTTGGGCGAGATTTGAACTTTCGCGGTGCGATAAAAATCAAACAGTCGTTTTAGGATCACGTGGCAGCACCTAGTTGAGCATCTTATGTGGCTGTTAGCTGTCAAACCTCGCAATAATCGCGGTGAAAAAACACTTAACGTGAGGAACGTAAATGTGTTGAATAATAATAGCATTTGTGTGCGTACTGAACATGAGCGTATGTGACGGGAGACTGGATCAACTGCAGCCATCTCACTCCATGCCGGAGGGCGACATTTCAGCTGTGCACTATATACCTTGATAGTTTTATTTTGATGTGAATTATGTATCTGAAACATTTGCTATATTATCATAATTAGTCCATTTGTTTGACGTGCCGGAGTGATAGAAGTGACTGGAATGGGAGGGAGACAGACCGGTGTTTGTACTACGCGATGTTGATGGCATTGCTAAGTTGTCGGATGGAAGACCATATTGAGTTTATGAATATTGTGTATTGGTAAGCATTTAAGTTAAAACTCAATAATTACAACCACTTATTGTCCGCGGTGTTGTGGTTTTCAGGATAACAATGAGAAAAACAGAAGTCGGAATTTTCTAGCTTTGCCCTGTGTGCTTGATATATACAATGAATATATCGTCCAGAAAGGGTCGTGTGTTGTTTTTTTTATAAACGGGCTAAACTCAAGCTTGTTAACTTTGACATTTTCCAAATAATGGATGGGGCACTCACTCCCCACGTGTGCATAGTTTAGGATATGTGGGAAGGGGAACTTTCTGTTTTCCCGGCGTGTTGATGTCTGTTTGCGGTACTCACCGACAATGCGTGAGGTCAGTCCTCACAGCGAGTGTGTATGCCACCGGCAATTCTTTGTAGGTGCTTTTGTGTCGTTTAGCGAGCTTTAAGATAACTGGTCTTTCTTAACACTGGTAGAGCTAGTCGTGCGGCCCATTCAAATCTTCAGCTCGACTTGCTGGTGGCCACGTTGGGGGACATAGCGTGTGCCAAATAGTCGACTATTTAAAACGACTTCTTATTTCTGTTTTGAAACCTAAAGCAACCCTTTCGGGCATAAAACAACTTTTGAAACCAATCTCTGTTGAACACATATCCTCAATATATACCCGTTACACAGCGTAGGAATTCGGCTACCTATTGA